AATGAGCATGCTGAATGTATGTATAGCAATGATATGCCGCTAATTTCTTTGTTATATAACTCTCTAGTGGGATACAGTTTGTCCTTTCTGTAAATTATTCTTAAAATATAATTTGAACTTTTAATGGTCTTAAATTAGATTCATAAGCTCCACCAGAGGTCATTCACTAGTCACATAAGACACAGAGGTCATTCAGTAGTCAATTCAAACAATCTTTAATCAAAAACTGTAACAGAAACTTCCATGAATTCTACCATAAGAAAGAAGAATGTGAATGTAGTAGATATAGAAAACGGCAATTCAGGAAATTAGAGTTGCTCTGGACAATCATACTTTTTGCACTATTGTTGATGAAAGCAGAGATTCTTGTGGTCGACATATCGCACATCTTATGATTGGAGCCTCACAGGAAGATAATCCAAGTAAAGCCTATTTAATTTCCTCAAAAGAGCTAGACAAAACTAACCATACGACAGCAACCCTCTTTATCCAATCATGGTTATCAGAATTTGTCTAGCCAAATGCAATCCAAGCAGAAAATTTTTGGGTGTTTTTGTCTGATGCAGCGTCGTATACGGTAAAAGTGGGCCAAAACTTAAGAATATTTTATCCCTGGTATGGTGCATGCCACTTGTCTTCTAAATGGACTAAACAGAGTTGCAGAAAACATCAGAACTGAATATCCATTGGACACCAAACTAATTTCAAACTTAAAAGAAGTTATATATATTCGCGATATTCTACGCAGAACATTTCCAAGCTATTAAGGAATTAACTTTAGATTAGAAGACAACTAGCAGTGTGCATTGCAAGGCCAATTAATGGTGAAAATGCGAGTGTAGCCAAGCAACTTGTTTTCATCCAAATCAAATTTAATGTTTACCAGATATGATAGTTTCATTACAAAGTAACAATTTGAGTTCAAGTGAAGCGATTAATTTTGTTCAAGCATTTTCCGCTCATTGTATGAAGATTCCCGGAGATGCAGGCGTTAAAGTTACACAAAAATTAGATGCTACTGTAGAAAAGAATGAAGATTTCAAATTTCTAGTCTGTAAACAGTATTTTTGTTGAAAAATCATCCAACGCAATTACACCTTGGCTTTATATCTTGCGGCCCAAACGATTACATTGGTAGATGTTGAAAGAACTTTTCTATATATAAACATATATTTACTGACATCAGATAATCATTTTTATTGGAAAACTTTGACAAGCATTTATTTATAAATTCCTACTATCCAATTTCACATTAAAATGTTTTTATAATTCTGTTTTAAAGTATTTCATGTCATCGCTTTCCGTTACTTTCTCAAGAGACAAATATTTACCAACTAATCAATGTTTGTGTGTAATAAAAATTACGCATATATATGCTCATATTTTGATTGAATTTAACTGCATATATTCCGCGCCTTGGTCTTTAAATATGTTTAAACTTCTTAAACTGATTTAAGTGATTGAAGCACCCTAAGTAAGCATTTTGAATAGATAATAAATTTCTGCAGCAAGCAGTCGACTTGCAGTCGACATCCAGTGCATTTTATAGTTACATTTTGCACGCATTAGTCGATCGAAATGTGGATCCTACTAGTGTTACCGATTGTCGCCTACATTTTAGTTCACATCGCCAGTAGCCGAATCAAAAGCCAGTCAAAGTACTTGCGAAATGTGCCGGGAAAAAAGCCGTTTTTGATTTTTGGAAATTTGCTGGATTTCCTGCCAGGATCCATTGGTGAGAGCTAAAGATTCACTAGAAAAGCAAATGCGTGAATTTTCTATTGCAGTTTTCCTGGATAATCTAATGGGGTATTTGAAAACATACGGAGACACCATTCTTTTCCATGATGGATTGTTCAGCTGGATGTTGGTGTCTACTGATTATGAATTTAATGAGTTTATGCACTCATCATCAGTTCACATCGAAAAATCCAACCTGTATCACTTTTTCCATGGATGGCTTGGGCAGGGTCTTCTCACAAGCTTCGGCAAGTCTAGTTTAGCGCAAAAAGTGAGACTTGCAAGTCTTGGCCTCAGCATTGCGGTTGCTTTGCTCGTCAAAAGTTCAATGTTTTGTGTTTATTTGCAGGTTCAAAATGGAGAAATCACCGAAAAGTGATAACGCACTCCTTCCATTTCTCGATCCTACAACAGTTTATCGGCTCTTTCGACGGCGTGGGTGACAATCTACTGAAAAAGCTGGAATCTGAAGCTGGAAAAGACAGTGTGGAAATATCCCAATTGATCTCTTTATACACCCTGGATGTTATTTGCGGTCGGTCCACTCCAACAGCCGTAAATCGTGACGAAATCTCACGCTTTTTGGGTTCCAGAAGCGGCAATGGGGGTGAAAATTCATGCCCTCGACTCGGGCAATTCGCAATATGTGAAGAGCATCAAGGACATGTGCAATATTGTGGCGGATCGCGTTTTTTCGTACCTCAGTCCGCGTCTATATATGCTAACGTCGAACTACTACAAGGAGAAAAGGGCTCTTAGGGTGAGTTGGGCTATTTTGAGGGCTTTTATGTCTCTGATTGCATTGCTTTATTTAAAGATCATCCATAAGCACGTGGACGCAGTGATATCGCAGCGGATAGAAGAACATAACCAGAAAGCCAAAAAGTCAGAAAGTTCCCAGGCTGATGATTTTGGCGTCAAAAAACGCCTGGCTTTCCTGGATATGCTTCTGGACGCCAGAATTGACGGAAAACCTTTATCCAGGAAGGAGCTGAGGGACGAAGTGAACACTTTTATGTTTGAGGTAACTGAAGCCGATTAATCCTCTGCTTGTGTGCTGAGCAAGACTTCTTTCCAGGGCCACGATACAACTTCTTCGGCGATTTCCTTTGCCCTATTTGCGATTGCTACTCATCCAGAAGTGCAGGTAAATCGACACTTTCATCCCCTGTAAACAGGATGATTCAAAAGTACTCTGACAAACTATGAGAGGTTGGAAAAACGATGAAAAGTTCTGATAATTGAGGGCCCTTAAGTGCATAATTTCAACGTTGGGCGCTAAAATTTTATTAAAAAACGCAAAAAACCATGAATTTATTTGAAACTGTTTGGAGTATTTTAATGAAGATTTTCAGGGAATAGTAGCTATTGAACGCTCATGTTTTCCTCTGTTGCATTCAGGGGCGGATCCAGCTTTAAAGTCAGGGG